CTCCAGGTATATTTTCCAGCCCAATAATACCTGAGCCACTGGGAATTTCTTGTGCCCAGATGTCTGGGTTCCACTTGGGTTACAATATTAACTGAAAGAACAGTGTCCTCCATCAGCCAGAGTGCTGTTGTACAATAATTTTTTTTTTTTTAAGATACTTAAGGGTGAGCTCATTCTCCGAGGACTGATTTGGAGGGCACCTCCAGCTCTGTACTACAGACAGTAGATCTCCGCTCCTTAGCAGGCTGCGCAGCAACTGTCGATGCTGAGGAGTCTGTTAATGATTGCCATGCCAGCTGTCTGGGTGGCTGTCACTTGGCAGAAGCAGGCTACTCTGTGGAGAAAGGTGGTGCAATTGGAATTTCCTCTACAAAGACAACCAGTGCTTTTTAACAATGCATTTCCAAGTATGGGGTGTAATTGTTTTCCCCACATGTGCTTTATGTTAAGGAAAATAAATTTCTTGAAGATGATTTCAATTCAGTCAACTCATGGAGCATGGATGGGGTCACACTGGGTGCCAGGCAGCCTGCTATGCCCCAGAGATACAAAGATTAGTAAAATTGTACTTGGCCTCAAGAAGCTCATGGTGTGGGTAAGGGATGAAGAGATGAGGAAGTTACAAGGGTGATCCATGGATTATGGGATTTGAGCTGGATCCAAGCGGAAGAAACAGCAAAGTCTTAGGAGGCTGTGGGGGAGTCTGAGGAATGGAGAAAATGGAGAAGAAACCGTGTTTTGTAAATGATACGCAAATCAGCATGAGGTGGAGAGCACAGTATGTGCACTGAAGTTTCCAATTTAGCTGTCTGAATTTTCCTTCATACAGGATGAGCTTCCTACTTTCTGAGACTTAAAAATGTGTAAAGATGTCTAAAACTATTTTCCCATCATAAATGTAATACGTGCTTCTTACAGAAAATTGGTAAAAAAATATAAAGTACTAAGAAGAGGAAAATATTTCCCCTTCATGGGTAAGCATTGGTTCAGAAAATCTGTGCTATTCATTGTAGAGTTGCTGGAGAGATTTTAGTTTCTTTTTTTTTTTTTTTTCCGGAACCGGGGATTGAACTTAGGCCCTTGTGCTTGCCAGGGAAGCGCTTATTCCACTGAGCCATCTCCCCGGCCCCTTTTAGTTTCTTTTTTTAGCATGGAGTTTTCAGATTGCAACCAGCATGATCATTCTTACAGAAGATAATTACAGATATCATTGTCCACTAATAGTATTTTAAAATAAATTTTAGGTGTATGTATTCATTCTGCAGATATATTCAGCATTAAATGATACGTAAGATACTATGCTCAACACACTCTGAGTTCTTTCTATGGAGGGAACAAGGTCATTTGAAGCGCATGGGCATAATTTCATATATAATCAAGAGGACATCTCAGCAAGCCAGATAGGGTTTGGGAAAGAATTAAGACATGATCAGTTTATCAGGCACTTGGGATGAAGCACATTGTCACTATCGGTGCCTAATCTGACACCTTTGGAACGTCACACCAAGACATGTAAATTATACCGAAGAGTCACGTGACTGGCGGAGCCTTGTGAGATGTGCCTTGAAGATCCTGGTAGTTTTATTATGACGTTAAAAAACAAAGCTGCATAAAGTTCAGAATTTATAAAAAGAGAATTAGTAATTTATTCAGAATGAATCCACACAGCATGCTTCCGTTTATTTACTTGACAGACAAATATGGCTGCCAGACAGCGCCTGTGGCTGGCCCAGACTCTGCCTTCAGCCCCTCAGAATGTGCTTTCTGATGGAGACTCAAGTCCTAGTAAGAAGGAGAAATGTTGAAAGCATGTTTCTTTCTGTGGCTCGTTGAGATCTATGAAGCCAAGTAGTCTGTGGTTAGATCATGTTTTCATAGACATAGAATCTATTTTTTGAGATTTATAACAGTAGAATTTACTATTGTCTCGATTACTTTTCTCTCGTTGCTGGGACAAAATACCTGACACCCAAAATTAGGGAAGGAAACGTTTGTTTAGCTCACAGGTTGTGGAGGTTTCAGTTCGTACTCCGCTGGCTCCAAGGCAGAGTGGCACATGGCAGAAGGCAGCAATTCATGGTGGCGGAAAACAACAAAACAGCAAGAGCAAAAGGGAGGAGCAGTGGCAGAGGCCAGCCTCCCTCCCTTCCTTATACTGCCTCCAGGCTATCTCCCCAGGCCAGTTGTAGCACCCACACCCATAATCCCAGCAGCATTCACACCCATAATCCCAGCAGCATTCACACCCATAATCCCAGCAGCATTCACACCTATAATCCTAGCAGCGCTCATACCCATAATCCCAGCATTGGATCATGATTAATCAAAACCTAAGAAACCCAAAGCCCTATCACCGCGTGAGACTTTGAGGGGACAATTAGACACAAGTCATAACAACTATGAATTAATGTCTATACAGAATTTATTGAAGGAAAACAGGTAATCCCAGAGTTCTCAGGATAATACATGAGCTCTGCGCCTCAAAGCACTCAAGGTGTTTTGCATCTGAAACTACATTTTAGAAATAACAAAGATAGGTTGATAAGAACTACTATGAGAGATTTATAAAAGGAACTGTAGAGATACCCATTTTGTTTCCCCTCTGACTGTACCACCCTATAGATCTGATTTTGAGGTCCCAGAGCTGATTCATTCAGCCCAAAGGTATTTCCTCTTATTGCGCTCTGCGGACACAGCACATGTAACTTTCAGAGGGCGATCCGGTGGTGATTCCTTGATTCTGTCTGTCTATGCAAAAGGCAGTGAATTGACCTCTTTTTATCCTTTCTGAGATAATTGTCTTTAAAAAAAGTGAAACTGGAGCAGGGAGATAGCTCAGCAGTCTAAGTATCTGCCTGGCAAGTGCAAGGTGGGTTTGATACCCAGTACCCATGCCTTGCTAGCCCTGTCCCCCACAACTGGGCATGGTGGCACAGGCTTGTAATCCCAGCACTGGGGAGGCTGAGACAGGAGGACCACTACAAGTTGGAGGAGACTCTGTACCAAGTAAATAAATAAATAAAAGATTTTAAAAGATTAAACAGTGAAGCTGTTTTCTTCAGATAATAGTATTGAGCTATCTATACTTTCTAGAAAATTATATATATATATATATATATATATATATATATAATTTTATAATATAAGATATATATTTATATATCTTCTCCAGGAAAAATGTACCCCATTTTGTGATTTCAAGGAAGTTGCTTGGAAAAAATATACCTGGACCAATTTCATTTTACTATTTATTTTTTGTATTTTAGGGAGGGGCCTACAAGGTGTTCAGGGTCTCACTATCAGATCTGACTTGTAGTGATCCACCTGTTTACACTCTCCCAAGAGCTGGGATTGCAGGTGCACACCACTACACCCAGTCTCAGTTGCTGTCTCAGCGCGCCCCAGGGGTGTAATATCTAATGATTAAATAACATATTTTTTCAGAACTTGTCTTGGCTTTCATACACATTCCTACAGATACACATAGGTTAAATTGTTAAAGCTTATATCCCTTTTATATAGATTTGTGATTTTCCATAAAACCTAATTGGAACATAAGCCCATGCATGATTTTTCAAGGATGCTGATGATTTAAGTCTTACTTCTAAAATAAGCCCCTAGCTAAGCTGGCCAAGCAGTGAGATACATTTAGTACTTCCTTTGTAACACATGATGGATATATTGAATGATAAAATAATAACAGCAACATAAAGTTAAACATAAAGATTATTACTGATATTAATACTTGAAATAAATGCTAATATTAAGGACTTGCAAATAACCAAGTGGGTGCCTTTGATGAGTGGTAAAGGACCATGGAAACAGATGAACCCGAGACCTACTGCCAAATGACAGTAGAGACACAGAGCCTGCATCCTGTGTGCACTTGACATGCATGGACGTGGTTGTGTCTACTGTGGATCTTCCTAATTCAGTGTTGTGTTGGAACTGTCATACTTAAGGTACTCCTATGAGCAAAGAAACATTTTTAGATTGTGGTGCTTGCAGTTTATTATCAATTTTGCATGGAACATCATTCTCAACTATCCTCATTATTATTGCCATTCCTGTCACCAAAGTCATCAGTTAACCCTTGACTTGATGGCACATTGTGAAGCCCTGCCTGCAAGAGGTCCTGACTTGGGGGAAGCATGTGTGGCAGTGGTGTTCCCAGTGCTCTACAAGTGGGCTGCATGGCTAGGAAGGGCTCATTTCAGGAAATCTCTGTGGCTGGACATGAGAGATTAGGGCCAGTGGTTCTACGGGAAATAGCGGTGCAAGCAGTTGGGCCGGAATTCAGGGTTTTGAGGGTTCAACAGTGTTCCTGAAGAAGATACCATGACTGTATTTGAATAGCTATAGATTTTGTATATTAATAAATGTAATTTTTATACATGAGTAAGTGAATACATGTAGATTGTTGGACATGAAAAAAATAAGACAGCCCCTGAAAAGAAGCCCCATTTCATCTTTTGGAGCAAAAACTAATATAAGATCCAATCTTATTTTCAGTGAAATACGGTAAGTATTCTGTATGCTGAATACTTCAGGGGAATCTACAACATGGGAACTTGGTAGTAATAGAACAAGCAAGGGTATGTGTTCAATGAAAAAATAACTGATTTTACATGATTCAGTTGTACCTGTAGTGGTCATTCATCAAACTTTGAACTAAGGTTCTCAAGCAAGATGAGTCTATCTAAAGTGCTCAGCAAATCTCTTCATCAGGGAGAAAGAAAGACACGATTCGCAGGCCTAGTGGGAAGAGTGTTAACTAGTGAGCCCTCGAGGAGCTTAACACTGATCACTAACTTTCTCAACATGTACTAATGAGTCATGTATTCGAAGACCTTTCTCAGAATTAAAACAGTGTTTACAACGGTCTTGTTTTGAAATTCAGTACATTGTGGCTTGTTATAACTTACAAAATAGAACTGTAGATATTTTAACATATTCTAGTTTTGTTCTTTGGGAAAACAAACCTTTCGTATATTTCGCAGGTACACTGTCTCCGCTGTTCTCGGTCCTTCTTTGGGTAGCAGTAGCCGTCTGCACCTCTGTGCTGTTTTTCTTCTCCAAGCCTGTGGGCATCCGACCGTTTCTTGTGTCCGTGATGCTCAGATCTATATATACGATAGGTCTTGGGCCTACATTAATACTTCTTGGTGCAGCAAACGTAAGTACTTTGGGTTGTTACAGAATTAATTAAAAGTGTATGAAAGATAAAAATGTGTTTTACTCCTAGTACTTGGTGGATTCTGATTTTTTAAATAAATTTAAATAAATTGGAGAATAATTTGCATGTTTAATTTATTAATTTTCTAAATAATTTTATTGAGAAACAAATAGCAATGCATGTTTAATTTAGAGAGAATGAAAAAGTTAACAAGTGACAAGTTGGTATATGTAAGAAAGTAGCATTTTGGGAATGACCCAGTTCTGCCATCAATTTAATCTAATACAGTTGTGATGGCTTCCTACACCCTATACCCACAGCTATTGACAAAATGACTCTGAGCTACTGTTAACATCCTATAATGACTTCTAAATCACCCAAGGAAGATTAAATTATATTCAGTAGAATTTAAAAAGTACCTTTCATCAAATGACTTAAAAGCAGTTGCTTTCCAAGAAAGTAAGAAATGGGGCTTCTTTTATGTGAACAAATCCTATAAACTTGTAAAAGACATAGATGAGATTAATATTTTTTTCGCCACCTTTGGAGAATGGAACACACTTTGAAACTTTAGGCAAGCTTAAAGTAAGTAAGCTAGAGCACTCTCGAAAAGCAAGAGTGATACTTATAGAATAAGTTTACCCAAGAAATAAAAATTTAAAGGTATTCTAGGCCAACTTTATTCAAGGCAGAGCCATAAAGGCAAATGATCAGGTTGATGAAATAGCAGGTAGGTGAGCAAGTACACAAATAGTGTTAGTACAGCCACTGAATAGAAACACTCTCTCCATATATTTAACTGGGTTTCTAACATAATGTTCTATATTCAGGTGTGTGCACCTAAGTCTTACCTGCCCCACTACCTTATATGGTTCATAATCTTAGCAATTAACTACTCACTATCGGCAACAGTATAGGTACTCAGTGAACATTTTTGAATACAACAACTAATCAGTGAGTGAATGAGTGAGCAAACGATTATCCTCATATCCTTGTACATTTATAAGGTCTTTCACACAGAGTGTGTGGCAAATGTGTATTGCAAATTAATAAGTAGAAGAGCTAACCAAATTTTTGAGAATTGTTACACTGAGGTAGTATAGCCAATTCTCTTGTTTCTGGTTGCTTTTTTTAAATAACAATTGTTTAAACATTTGGTACAGTGCATTTGACAGCTTCTAGTTAACTGGAATATTGAAGTAGGAAGTTATCAATTTTCCATTGTTGTCAGTAAAAGGAAGTAAGGAGGGTTGAAAAATATGAAGGTCTACATTTTGAGAATTGTATTACAGTGAAAGACACATTAATGCCAGGCATGGTGATGTATGCCTATAGTCCCAGCACTCTGGAAGCTGAGGCAGGAGGCTAACTGCCTGGGCTACAAAGTGAGATCGGGGCCAGCCTAAGCTGCGTAGTGAAACTCAGTCTCAGAAGGGATCAAGAAAAGAATGAGAGAGAGAGAGAGAGAGAGAGAGAGAGAGAGAGAGAGAGAGAGAGGAAGAAAGGAAAGAAAGATGCATTCCTGTTAAACCCCCATCAAAATACCCTGCTACACACTT